TGATTAAACTTATTATTCTATCAGGGGAGCCCCAGTGCCACGTTCTCCATTCCTTCCCAAGCATTAATTTACTCCTACAGAGAGAACTCTCAGTTTCAGGACAATGCACTATTGCTAGGGAATAGCATATATTTCTGCAGGAGAACAGGAGTGACTAATTTTTAAATGTCACCTCTATGACTTTTCTGTGGCAAGATCTAAGAGGAACACTGGATTAATTGAGGAGCAGGACTATTGCTGGGTTGCTGACCCCATGGGTCAAATATCATGAGGCCATTCTAAGGAATCTCTGCCCAGAAATCTGCTCTCTAGCCCAGAATTTAGGGGAGCCACATTCACCTCTAAATCCTTACATTCTTTTGCCACTGTGATCTTCATGATCATCTTTGATACCTACCTGAACAGGAAGGAGTTTTTGCAGTTACCAACACTTCCAGTTGCATCTAAATTAAAACAGTAGTAGGGCCAGGGATTTAGCTCAGTGGTTCGACCACCTGCCTTGCAAGCACGAGATTCTGAGTTCGAGCCCTGGTACCAAAAAAAAAAAAAAATGGGAGTAGACACTAACTTCAATGCTACATATGACCCGGCACAGTGGATATACACTTTTGAGCAAAGCAATCCTATGGCTAGCTTCAATTGGAATGTAGTCAAGTCTGCACTATTATTCCCAACTTGGTTTATTCCTTTCTTTAGTCCACTAGTAGATATTATTCTACAGTCAATCTTTGGACTTTGTATTTTTTTAAGCTTTTGGTAAAGTTTGTGTTTTCCAGGTTTTAACAGTTCCAAGCCAAATTAATGTTTAGGCAAAAATTCCAACCTATATCTTTTAGGGGAGTAAAGGGGCCCATCAGGTCATTACAGGAGTCACTAAGATTTGTACACCTTCAGAAAACCACAGAGTCAATGTCCCTAATCAGCAGAAGACAACCACAGAAAATACAGACATTCATCCATAGCTTATGTTTAAAGAGGATAAAATGTCTTAGGGAGGGGAAATGCAGCGTAGAAAAAAACTGGATATAAGCTGCCTTCAAAAAATGTTTCCACCAATGCCCAGATAGAAGAGCTGATGACTCTTCCGCCAAACTTTCCTACCATCTCCACATGTACAATAGGCCTAAACTTGCCCAATATATAACTTTCCTGGAGTGGCAGCAGGGAATACTTGTATCATCTTTAATGAACTAAGAGCAGGCAAACCCAAAACACATGAACAGATCACTGAGTCAAGTGCAAGCCTCAGTATCAAAAGCAAAGAATTGACAAGACATGTTAAGAAACCCTGGGATCATATGCAACAGCTGACCATGTGTCTGCACAAGCCTGAACACCATTTAAAAAATTATTTTGGTCTATATCAACTGTTAATTTTGCATCCACAGGGAGCAGTCTAGAGACCCTAACCTATGCACTACCCCCCATGTGCTCAAGCCTAAGACCAATAAAGCCTCACTTGGATGGTATTGCTTGCCTCTTCATGATTTCTATCTCAAATTGAGCAAAATAACCCTTGGATGAGCTGGTAAACCAAAATGAGCTGGAGACACATCAAAAACAACAACAACAACAACAAAAAAAAAAACTACTGCACTTGTGTACTTTGAATACTTAGTATTTCTGGCACTATAAAAAAAATTTCAGTTGTTTATGTGGCTACAAACAAAAACAGCACCAAAGGATGTGAAATCATCATTTAGCATCAATCAAAATTGACACCATCAATTTTCTATAAACTATGCCTCCAAGCATAATCAGATATATTGTTTTCTAATTATTTCCACCTTATTATATCAATTCCAAAAATCAATTAATTCCAACAGGCCACCTTAAGTTAAAGCAAATCCATCAAAACACAAGAATGGAAGAATAGTGAAAAGAATCTAAGGGATGCCAAGAACTAATTGAAATTTTTTAGTCTTACAATGTATTTAAAATATAAATATTTAATTAACATCCTAAACATAATTATTATGTAAGAGGGAAGTACCTCACTAGGCAGCACATTTTTCCTATGTGTGAAATGAACTTCTGCAGTAGGAAAAACAGGGGAGTTAAAGGAATTTTTCCCATTAAAGAAGAGGAAATAAACAAGGCAAACCTCTTCCTTTCAAACAAAATGTACTATAAACAGCAGCTGATAATCCAATCATTTACTAGGACTTCATCCAAAGCAGCAAATCTCAATAGAGGGAGGGAAGAGAGTAGGTGGTTTTAAATGAAACATGCCTCCTCTCTCAACTCTTCCTCACTGGAGTACCTCAACATTATCCAATAATCCTCACCTAACCAGGTTGAAAATCACTAGTAGAGCCATTGTTAGGATGGAAAGGTGCCAAATTCTTCACATGTGTGACAAACCTTAAAAGACGACAAATCACTGATCTGGAGTGTCAATATATAGTAGAACCCACTTTCTCACTACAAATTTAAACTTTTGTATCATAAAATTGTAAGTTCTAGCTTCAATGAAGTGAGATTCAATGCCCCCTCTTTTTTGCAAGAAAGTGAAAACTAATGGTTATTATCACACTCAGGACAGAGAGAGGCAAAAAGACTGCCATTTGATTCAATGATTCCCATTACTCTAGCAAAACGTTAGCCATCAAGAAACACGAGGCCTGAGTTATCCTGGATAGTTAAACATGCCAGATTGCTAAAGCTTTAGCATATAAATTAATTTGTATTTTAGAATTTGCAAGAGGATTCTCTTTTGAAGCATATCTTTTTTTTTTTTTTTTTTTTTTTTTTTTTTTTTTTTTTTGCTTAGAAACAACTTTTAAACTACAAAAGCATGTAAAATCATTAAAAATAATTCAAAAATACATGAAGTAAAACATTCTCCCCTCTCATTCTGCCGAGGGTAATTACTATTTGGGGTATATCCTTCTAGACTACTTCAGAATACATACAAAGCTATGCATAATCTCAAATAAGGATTAAGAGATCTTAATACACATTCAGTTCTGCAACTTGCTTATTTTATAGTGATGAATTGAACAGCCTTTTAAGTTTAAATATCATGGTATATCTACTTTTTTAAAACTACCTTTACAAAAGAATTTTCCATCATTCTTTCAACAGGTACTTTTAGGTAGGAATTATTTTTCCATCTTCAATTCACTGTGGTGCATACATCTTTGCAAACATTTTTCTTCAAGAGAGATCAGTAATGAAAACGCTGGATTAAAGGCATACACATATTTTTGAGAGAAACTCGTATGTCCTGGCTTCTTTAAAATATTCCTTTTCTTGAAAATCCAGACTTATTCTTACCAACATTTATTTTTTTAACTCTGCATAATAAAGTGGTTTATACCCTTAGGGCCACAGTAGTGAGCATTAGTCACTTCTACAATAAATTTCCATTTCTAAAATTGTAAACCTTTTTCCTTATTGTCTCTACACTATCTGCCATCACTGTACTGCCTAGCATATCACTTCTATTGGAAACCTGAAACCAGAAAACTGTATTTGTTAAAATCAAGATTAAATTAAAAATTACATGAGAGAAATTTTTCATTGACAAAATGCAAGTAAATTTTCTAACTGCTATCTTAATCTCTCAGAGGTCCTTCATACTATTAGAATCTGAAGGGATAAAATTCCCAGACAGTAATTTTTAGACAGATGAAATATAATCACTATTATTAGTAGTATATTAATACACACACCATTCATATTCACATTTCATATGAGAAGTACCTTGCTCAAGAAATGCCAGGGGCAAATGGGTCACAATTTTAGCATAATGTCACTGTTCCAGTAAATATTATTAAAAGTAGTATTATAGCATTGGAGAAAATTATAAGTAATCTATTCATCTTGTCTTTTCCTTACCAACATTCAGTAAATTGCTTACAAAGATGACTACGCATATATGACTTGTCTTTCAAATGTCCCCCTAAAATTACTAGTTTAAATTTATTTTGGGTTAATTATGACTCTTTATCATTAGCTATGAGTCGATTCGTTATCACCATCTCAGTAAATTGTTTAAAGTAAGTGTGACAAAAGGAGATTGTTGCTAGGATTTCTGGAGAAAGACAATAGGCTTGCACTTCCTTCCTTCCACCACCTCACTCTTCTTCCACTCGCCCCCTCCAACCAAAGATATAACAAAGAAGGTAGCATTCTTTTTCAGGATGTAAGGGTAGAAAGACAAGAAATCTAGAGGTAAGAAGGTAAAGAGGACATTACTAAGTGAGCATAAAGGAAGCAAGGGAAAACAAAGCTAAGAGATAGAGCTAATTTCCTCCCTGAATTAAAACATGCCTGGACTTGGTGGTCATGCGTACCTGTTTAGGCTAGAATCTTTGCCACTTCCAACTTGAAGAGTCCTAACTCCTAGAACTAGAACTTTAACTTCAAGCAACAATTTTATTGAGTAAGTTCCAGCAAAACTACCTGTCAAATATAATCTAACAATGATGATTTTGCTATTTGAACAAAAACTTTAGATTAATTTTAGCAATGTTAATTCAGACAATTTCCAAGTCTTAGAAGTGCTGAAAAAAAAATGATAAATTCTAAAGAAAAGTCCAACAGTTTGGAGAGATTACTAAACAAAAGGGAAATAAAAGTGTAAAACAGAATAATAGCCAAGTATTTCCTTTTCTTGGCATTTTGTTCCCTAATGCTCTGATTTTTTTAAAAATTGAGTTTATTGGTACATTTTAGGTATATAGTACAGTTACATTCATTATTGGGATCTTGTACCTTTACATGACAGGTCTTGGTTCTCATTTTTCCCCTTTGTCCCTGCCCCTAATGTTCTGATTTTTAAAAACATCTTTCTGCAAGGAAAGCTACTCACCATCTCACTAGCCAATACTCCTTGTGGTACTAGGCAAAGATGTGATTAAATCAATCATTAATACAAATCAGTTATACTTTTCAATTTCAGTCTGATGAAAAATACAGAACTATGGAATATATCTAACATTAAACTGTTTAAACATGTTATTTCTATGAAGTGAATAATAAATTTGGCTTACCTCAATTGCTTCGCATAGTTCTGTTCAATTTCTATTCTCTCTTTAACAAATTTGGCATATCTTTCCAAGAAGTCAATTCCCCATTGTGTGTGCTTGTCTAAGCTGTCGAACTGATCCTGGAAAAGAAAAGTAAAAAGGCATTATAACAGCCTGAAATTTTATCCACAAATATTTGAACCAGCTTCTGATATTTGTACAGAGAAGCAATAGAGTATAAAACGAAAAACCTGGTCCCCAACCACATCACCTTTCAACACCTACAAATAGGTTCCTAAGCTAAAGGCATGCCACTTTATGCCAGACAGAATGCCCTCACCCACATGGTTTCAACACTCTATCCTGGTCTTAAGTCTTATTCCTTAATTAAGTCTAATTAACTCTTATTCCTCCTCAGAGATTCAGTTCAGGCATAGTACCCTCCAAAAACTGATCCCAAAATCTGAAATTGAGGTTAATGGGTTTTCTAAGACCTGAAGGCTCCCTAAAGTTACAGTACTGTACTATTTTATTCAGTTGTTGTCAAGGGCAGAAACATATTAGTCACCTCTGAACTCCCAATGCCCAAACACCATGCTTGACACCATTGTAGGCAGCTAATGAAGAACTGTTTAGGTGAACAAAATCAAATATGATTGGACTCAAATTCTGAGATCTGTCATTTACCTCAAGTTTGACCCTGGCCAGGTTTATCAAGACTTTTTCCATCTTAAAGTGAGAGTCAAATCACTAACCTCATAGGACTGTGGTGATGTTATTAAAAGTGTTCTACAATGTAGTAAGCACATTAACATACAACACAGCTTCCAATATAATGGTCCTGCAAGGCTTTTAAATTCTTCAAAAACAATCCTTTTTCCCTGTTGCCAGAGAAATTATCATTTCCCTTTAAGAACAGTCTCCAAATTGACTTAATAACTTGGTGCTCTCTCCCACTCACATAAACAAGTCTTAACAATGCTGAGAAAATGTTTAAATATCATCCTTGCCTGTATTTCCAAGTTACTGTTAAATAACCCAGGGTTTAATCACATTGGTATTTACAAATGCAAAAAAATCTCCCTTCCGTGTTATCTTTTTCCATACTAAATCATTATAAAATTCTACTACTAAAATCCAATTCTATCTTAATAGCAAATATAAGTCCTCAGTTTATCATGGGTTGGTATCACTATCTTCTTCTAAGCAATTTTCTGATTATCATTTGACTTCCAAAATATACTTGAATACAGCAAGAAAATGTATTAAGCAATAAACATAGTCCATATAATATGTACCTTTATAAAGTAGAATTCTCTTCAAATTGAAAAGCTCGAAAAAACAATTCCATAAAGAAAACTGAAGCATAAACTATATTCCCTCATTTTTCCAAAGTGCTTCAAAAACCTTCTCACTATTCTCTTCATCAAATTTTATGTAATACTTCAAAACACTGTAAATGTTTTTAATTATAAGCCTTTCAACAAAAAAACTGAACAAATACCTCTATCATATGTATATTTATTCATAATTTAAATGTTATAGTAATATGAAGGTATATAATTTTGAAATCCACAAAAATGGACATTTACAAGAAATTAAATAAAAATTAACTTTTAACAGTTTGGGTTTTTGTTTGTTCTTTACTTATTTAACAAGTAAAAACCTTTAAGCTATATAACTTTTGTTGTTTCCCAAAGGTCTTGTTATGTAGCCTAGGCTGGCCTAGACCCTGTGATCCTCCTTGTCTCAGCCTCAAGAGTGCTGAAACTGATTATAAGCATATACCACCATGGTAAGCTTAGGTTAAGATTTGAACTCAGGACTTTCGCAGTGAGCTACATTCCTAGCCTTTTTGGTTGTTTTTTAAAACAGGATCATATGAAGTTACCCAGGCTGAGCTCATACTTGCAATCTTCCTGCCTGAGCCTCCCAGTGCTTGGATTATATGAATGCACCACCACTCCCCATTGTAACAGCATTTTTAACAGGCTCAGTGAATCAAAACTGGTTTGTTATTTTCAAAATCTTGGTTTAAACTGTTAAATAAAAATTGTGGGAGGCCATGTGGCACTAGGCTCCAACAGGAAAAACCAAAATGGAGTCACTCATACTAAATGTCACATTATCAAAGTGACACTTTAAAACAAACAAGTTTTTCCTGAAAACTAGAAATTCTTACTGACTTGAGTTGCTAATAATGAGGAAGTCTCCTCAGCCTTAACCCTTACAAAACAGGAACATGAAGTCAACCAATCAGTATTTTTTTATACTTATTTCCTTGTTCCCATCTTATAAAACCACTGCTGTGTTATTGCCCAGAGAGTACTCTCCTCCTATCATGTAGAAAAGAGGCTGCCTTGACTCACAAATCACAAGGTCAATTCAATATACTTTTATAAATAAATCTGTTATAATTTTATCTTTTGACACAATGGCAATGTAGTCTGCAGGTCTAGGTTCGAAACTGTGATGTTTAGTTTTTAGTGGATGTCACCGTTAAGGAAACAAGATACATCATAAAAACAAAGATCTCAATGAAACAAATTCACAGTTAATCACACTTTGTAATTAATTTTTAAAATTTATTCTTCAACACATTCACCAATATGCAAATTTTATGTTAAAATTTGGTTAATTTCACCAAAATCCGTTTTTACAAACTAACATGAAAATATTGCACATTACTTTTTTTTTAACAAATTGGTTTAAACTCCCCACCAGAACTATGATGGCTAATTTTATTACATGTCAATTTGGCTGAGCCACAGTGCCTGATATTTCTGTTTTTGTTTGTTTTTTTACCGATATTGGGCTTGAACCCAGGGCCTTTGAAATGAAGTACATCCCTAACCTTTTTTTAAAAAAAAAAAGGCTTGGCTATGCTAAATTACTTAGTCTGGATTCAATCTTTCAATCTTCATGCCTCAGCCTCTCAGAGTGCTGTTACTGCAAGCAAGAATGACCACGCCCAGCTTGTATGAGGTTTTTTCTTTTTAAAATGAGATTAACATTTAAATAGGCAAATTTTGATGAAAGTAGATTATCCTCCAAGATGTGGGTGTCTCTCATTCAATCAATTGAAGGGTCCACAATCACCTGAACCAATTCATTCAATGAAATCTAAGGGTATAGTTGTCATTTGTGCCTCACTACTAGTTTTCTCACTGGTTTGTGTGATAGGCTGGTGCTGGAATCAAGGAAAGTGAAGCAGGGCTCTAGAGCTAAGTATCATCATCAGCCAGGGGTGGTGGCCACACCCCTGTTAATCCCAGCACTCCAGAGGCTGAGGCAGGATGATCACTGTGAGTTCGAGACCAGGCTGGGCTACATAGTGAATTCCAGGTCAGTCTCAACTACACAGTGAGACCGTCTCAAAAAAAGTACCATCATCAAGACTCCTAGTGACAAGAAATGGGAGAAGGTGATGGAGGAAAAGCCTATAAGGATCTGTTCAGGAAATCAAACAACTAGAGCAACTCATGCAAAATGGAAAGGAATACCACACACTTTGAGAAGCAGCAAAGGCCACCAACCTGAGAAAATAACAGACCAGAACAGACTCACCGACTTGCCCTAATTTTCAATAGGCCGAGCTCAACAGGCTGATGATGGGATGGTTTGAGATGGGTGGAGATGAAGATGATATGGAACTGTTCATGGAGATGAAACAAATTAGAAGAAAACTTGAAGAACTGCCCACACATTGTTATGGGGGAATGATCTATTCACTTTATCACCATTGTTAGGGAATTGATCATGTTAAAGTATTTTGTGACGCCGCCATCACAGGCTGCATTTTCCTGGTGCTTCTTGGCTCTTAAAATGACCAAATGCTCTTATCTTTAGCTTCCCTCCCGCCAAGGCCACAGCGGTCCAGAAAAGTTAAACCTGTTTCTGCAGGACTGAACCATAAAAGGCAACCTGGCCTGTGATAGGTTAAAAGTAGCCCACTCCTCATAAATAAGTAATAACCCAGCCCAAAACCAATAAAAAGACCTTCCTTTCTTTGTTCTCTTCTTCTTCCCTCTCTCTGCTCACTCTTCTTCTTCTTCCTTCTCTCTCTCTTTCTGCTCTCTCTCTACTCCCAATCCTTGAATAAAATCTCCAGTCAGACCTCTCAGTGTGTGTGGCCGAGTTGTTGAGCATCACTGTTCCCTTTCAACTATGATGAATTTTGCCTTATATCCTGACTTTTACTATTTCCCATGATATTAATAGTGTAGTTCTCAATATTTTCCTTTTCTATGCAATTTGCTGATATGCCTTTACTTACAAACGCTGTGAACTTTATGTTATACCCGTGTGTCAAGTGGGTCTTGTTGCCAGGTTCTGTTTAGATTTTTCCCTTTGTAACCAGTCTTTTTCTGTGAGCAGCAGAACTTTACTTATTTCCATGGAAAAGGTAAAGCTAATAAAGCAACTGAAAACAATAAAACAAAAAACCCTCTCTACAAAAATGTAAATACAAAACAAGGGTTAAAAAGACTTAAGAGGGCCTTGGCTCAGTGGTGCCACAGGCCTGCCTCCCAAGACCGTACCAAAAAAATAAATAAATAAACTTAGGAGAAGGCCAACATTCTTTGTGCTAGGTCCCCAAAGACAAAAAATAAATAAATAACTGATTCCCTTAGGCTAAAATTCTACATCCACCAACCCAAAACTAAGTTGTTTATTTGACCTCCTGAGAAATTAGGAGAGAGAAAACAGCCAAATTCCCAACCAAGCAAATTCTAACAGACATAAGGAAGATTCTCTTTAACTTTTACATGGCAAGTTTGAAACAATCATTCCAATTTTTGTTTCCCTTGGTAATTCCACCTATGAAACCAACTTCCTCTGCTCAGTTCATCAAAATGTTCATTCTATTTTATGGAATGAAGTGCTGCCTAATTATAGAATGATAAATAAGGCCAATTATAATCTTTAAATTTTTAATTCTGTCTTTTGATACAAGCAACAAATCTGAGTGTTTTAAATGTGGAGATATAACAGTTGCAAGTGACAGGTCATTTTCATCAACAAAATTATATAATGGTAGACCCATTTTCAAACACTCATCATGAAAATGTTTTTTCTACAGTTCAAGTTTCTTTAGAAAAGCAGCTATTCAGCAGAAATTAATTCAATGGAGACTAAG